CACAGTAGCTGAGGTTTGGTGGCACACGATGCAAACTGGCAGCTCTGACACTCAAGGAGAAGGTGGGGTACTGTCTGCTTTGCCCTAGACTTCGTGGGGACCGAGCCACCCCACCTCTCCCACACATGAACACACACAGGAGCAGCACTCAACTGGGGAGATGTGTTCAGCCTTTAAGAAACATAGTGGCATGCAGAGGGCCCCAGAGACAAGCGACTCCTGGCTGGAGAAGCAGGCTTTTTTCCCCTCGGGTTTTAGGATGTGGCCTTGGAAAAACTAGGAGCCAAGTATGCAACTCAGTCCAAGTTAACACTGCAAAGGCAATGACTTCAGCATGCCCTGCATTTTCAGGAGAACATCAAAGATCTTCTAAATAAACCATAAATGAGCTTGTCCACAAGTGTGAGATTCTTGTCATTAGGGCAGGGAGCCTTTCCACGAATAACTGTCTAGAGCTGAAACTACCCCTGAAAAGTCCTAGCAAAAGATTTGATGCCCACAGAGAAAGAAATAACGTTGCCAACTCTGTTTGCATTACAGATAACATGCAGAATGTTTTTCTTGCTCTCTGGGGAAGAGGAAAGGGGTTGACTGTGTTTTCACACAAAAATGTCAGTTGGCCAGTACAGACCAGAATGATGGTTTGGCATTAAAGATATTTATGCATTTTTTCCATGAAGAAGAAAACTAACCCATGGCAAAAAATCAGTTGCCCACAAAAGGCACAGCTTCTCCTCAAGAAAAAAACTCAGGTTGGAACGTTGTGGTGGATAAAGGCAACGGCAAGAGAGAGAATTCTGTAATTTAAAAGTGACACTTCTGCACCTTTTTACTTCTGAAACCAAAGAAATCTTTATTCATTTCAACAATCCAGATCACATCAAGGTGAACTTCCAGTAGGATGCTACGGCTTACAGAACAGGTCATGAATACTTGATATGCCCTTTAAATACCTTAGTTCCATCTCTCGAAAACAATTATCCTTCACAGACCAATGAATCTTGCATAGAAATTCACTGCTCTGACCTGCTTCCTTAGCTCCCAGTTTAAAATGGGTCCAAATAACTTTGATCTAAGCATGTTTTCTCATCTAATCTCCAGAATGAGAGAGGTAATCTAAAATTTGTCAGGTATTGTCAATCCTGCTTTAAGGCAGAGGGATACACTAGCTAAAATCTCTTCAAGGTCCATTCTTCTCTTTATTACTTTATCTTTGAACCTGGTTTTGCTAGCATCAGTTCCCACAAAAGCTTTCTTTCTTATGTATTTATGTTTACACTCACTGAAGTAGCAGACTTCTGAGACCATCCAGAAGTAAACCACCCCTCAGTACTGTTTCAGTTTAGGCTCTCTATATATCCTTTGCAGAAGATAACATTATGAGTGTTTTTAAAAAGGAATGTTATGCCATCCTGCCTGCAGGACGCTGATCCTGTGATGAAACCAGAAGGTCAGGTGGAGAGAACAGAAACTGGTAGAGTGGCACAGTACAGCTAACCCACAGAACAGGCCTTCGCTGAACACAGTCTACCCTGCCCAGGTCATCACCTTAGAAGAAATACTATCTTTGCTACTATCTATATTATCTTTGAGGGTGACAAGCAGCAAATCCGGAATCGAGCCCAGCTTCAGGGCTGCTACGGCACATAAACATGATGCAACCTCGGGTACTTCTATGGGTTTGTCACCGCAGGATCTGAATATTTCTGAACACAGCTACGCCTGCTGAAGTGGGAAAAATGCTATTACTGACAGTTGCAAGTGCGGGACTGTGACCCAAATATTCTACAGGGCTGTCCACAGAGCAGATACACCAACCTTTGGCCAGGGACCAACACAGGTTTGCTGTGCTGGCATGATATGCTGGCCAGTGTGAGCTGTTGGGTAACGCAGCTGCCGGGTGATCTCTGTCTCACTGAGGTGTGCCCAGGCAGCCATACCCTCGGGCCACAACATCCAAAAGACATGCAGGGTCTTGTTACCAACAGATAACAGTACTGGTTTGCTTCATCCAAAGACAGACTGTGAGAGTTTGCAGCTTATGACTTCCTTTTAACGATGGTCATGGGAACACAGAAATCATACCTACCCTGTAAAAGTAAACCCTTACATACAGAAGATTAAAATATAAAACTTAAATAATTATATTGTCTGAGTGCATATCAGAATATTTCACGAAAAAGCAGGAGTTTAAAACCAGAATTAAGTGATTATGTGAAAGGCAGGAAGAAAGAAAAGATGGTACTAGAATGACACATGGGGCTACATAATCCAGGATAATCTGTAGTGTCTTTAAAATCTCTCTCTGATGAGAACAACACAAATTTATAAACTGAGAATAAAAAGCTCCTGCAAAACTTATGTTTTACTTAGGCAATCTGCATTACTGTCCGTTACAGAAGTTCTCTCTCTCTCGGTGTTTCATGAACCAGCCTTTTCGTGGCAAAGCCTTTCCTCAGCAGCATGAAGCAAACAGGTTTTCCCCTCACCCCACTCCCAGCCTTCTTCCAGGCTTTCGAGTCACGGGTGACATCATTTGCTATCAGCTGCTACTGTGAATTCTAACAGATTATTATGCTGCCCACTGATCTGCTGTGTCAAAATGGCTAATTAAACACACTGAAAAAACCACTAGTGATACCTCTGGAGACCCACTAGTGCAGTATGATATCCTATTTCTTCTGAACATGAAAAGGGTGTCTCAGTATCTTTCCTTCTGACCAACACACATTTTCAAGTGTGAAACACTGTACACTTCTTACATGGTTGAAAAGAATTGTCTTCTATTTCCAGTATGGATATGTCATGCACATACTAATAAAACACTTTGATATTTATGGATTCCATTTCTGTAGTTACTTTAAAATGTTTTAAAAGATTAATGGAAGTGAGAAAAGCTAGCACTATACATGCATCTTTATGGTTTTTACCAATGAAATATTGATTCCAAAAGAAAAACCCAGATCTTTAACCTAAATATCCTTCCATTTACAGACACCGCACAGGCCTTCACTTTCCTTTGGTACCAAAGTCAAGCTCTATAAAGAGGGAATGGAAATAATTGTGGGTGAGGAGAGGAAGGGGGAGCCCGAGTTCATTTTTAAATTGAGCATATTTACAGATCTAAATCCCTGACCACGTGATTTCACTCCTTTGATCATAGCTTTGAATTTACTGTAATAAAAAGTATAAAAAACACTAACAATTTTAAAGGGCAGAACCAAACCAAATGTCCCTAATCCATTTGCACACTGTTGTGACTGTCTGGGGGTCTTCAGTGCTTGTTAAATCTGCCCTATTCTGACCTGGAATTCCAACCCACTGTTTGAAGACATGAAGAAAGCCCAAAGACAGCCTGCTACTGAGGAAGGCAGCGTGCTACTTTTGTTCTAGATCCTAGGCAAAGGAGGAAAATGGTTTTCAAACTAGATTCTGCCAGTTGTTTAATGTGATAAGTAATAAAAATTTAAGACACTTTTTATTACTTTACCTCATTTAGTATTAATGTATGAGCCATCCACTGTATAAGGACTGGACTAGATGTCCTTACTGGTTCTTTCTAGTTCGCTTACAGTGACTTCCCCAAAGAAGGCAAAGTGACAGGCTTCCTAGGTGAACTGAAATGAGACTTGGATACAAAGAAGTTCAAGGCTTCTGACTCATGAATGATTAAGATGAAGAATACTGTGGAAGCAGTGGAGAAAAACAACTGAGCCTTTCTCCCAAAAGAAAGTAAAACTATGAAAGATGTTTCTGGCCTTACAGCCAACCCAGCCGCTTTCTCACAAAACGCTTGTGACAGCAGAAAGGTACCAAAAATGTATGTGATGAAATAGCGTAACAAGGGTAATGATCCTCTCCTGCCTTTTTTGTATGACCCTTCTCAAATTAGCTGAAACTACTGTGGGGAACTTCTTCAGTCAGAATCTGCGTTACGTATTACCACAGCACAGGTGAAACAAGGTACCAGGGGTGAAGTTCATCAAAGGGTACCACTTGTTGCCGACCTCGATTCTGACACGCAGTCTGCAGTGGCAAGACAAGTGGAAGTTACTATTGATTTGTTCTGACTGCTTTGGAAGTGCAACCACTTTCTGCTTCTCTCATCTTTCACATCATTAATTATCTTGAAAGAGAGCATGGTGTACAGACAAGGTTTGTTACGGAGAAAACTGTATGACTGCACATGAGGTGACAGTACAAGAACATGACTACAGTACCACCGGATTAACAGATTATTTTGCCTTTAACAATGCCTCTGAAGGTATTGTCAGTAATAAGCATCTCTGACACACAGACTGGTTCCCTTCAGCTGGAAAAATGAAAAAAAGAATTTGTAACCCTTCAGTCACTTCGACATTCTTTTTACTGAATATATCCTTTGTGAAAATCCTGGATCACGTATTTTTAAATTTACAGTCTTGGGCAGGAAAAAAGATACACTAGTGAATTTCTCACCATCCTCACCCAGTCCTCCAACACTCCAGCCAACACGCTCACACATGCAGTCTCATGCAGATCCACTAATTAAAGTTCTAGTCCTCCAACAGGCTCTCACAATGGCAACACAAGAGCCCCGGCAGAACGCGGAGCAGCAAGGATAGGCTTTAGTAAATCCCAGTTCCAGCATGAGGTATAACTGTTAACCCTCTGCAGAAAATGAGGTCAGTGATTCAACACTCAGTACATTTCCTTATTCAGTCCTAGCCAAAGCCTTGAAATAAAGTGATAAAGAAAGGTTCCTGTCAGCCTCAGTGCCCACATTTCAGAAGGATGTATCCATCTAATGCAGTATCATATACCTAGGAGAACAAATAAACCACTATGGGATTCTTGACTTCAACTATCATTTGACTTTCTTCCTTTTTCTTAAACTGTAAGGTTCTGAAACTGTGTTTCCACATGCTATTTAAGGATGCTAGGTGTTCCCTAGACTCTCACATTCATTCATTTATGCTCAGAATACTCCAGCTCCTCTCAGAACAGCTTCCCCCTTTTACCTTCTGTCGCTGCTGAATGTTGCTCATTGTGTCTGGCTGAAACTCCAGTTTGTCTGTTCGACAAAGTTTCCAGTATAAAATAATCATGATCAGGACCACCACCACGACGGGGACTGCCACACCAACAATAATCCATAGGTTGTTACTCTGTGACTCTGAGGTGGACTCCTTCAGCTTCTCCACAGCTGTGAAGTTAAACAGAAGACAGCAATTTTATGTGGTTATGTATTTTTAAATGAGGACACTTCAAGGTAACGTATTTTTATGTTCTTGTAAACAGTAGCTAAGGAATTTATCAGCAACTAGCCACACATCACAGGAAATGTCACACCACTTCCAAGTTAAGTGCGCCATGCTCAGGAAGCATGGCGCAGGTGATCAATTGTCCTGGCCTACCTTCTGAAGACCTGTTCTTCAACTACTAATAAACATACACTTCTGCCACATCATTCTATAACCCAAAACTGAGCTGACATAGTGAAATGGGTCCAGAAAAATTACCTCCCACTAACAAAGGCGAGAAGGACTTCCCAATCTTATTGCCTCTATCCTGCTTTAAGCAGTATTACCAGCTGCCTCTTCTCTTTAGTTATACATTATACATTGTTATCTCCCCCAACAATAATCGCAGTCAATCTGAAATCACGAAGACCCTCCTCCTCAAGGTGTATAGTTTCACATTTTTTATTACATTTTTCCTTTATTTGTTTCATTGTCAGTGCGTGAGATTCTTTAGCCCCAAAAAGCATACAAAACTATTGAAAAGTGTAATAAAACCAGTTATGCTTGTAAAAAGTGAACTGGACGAATTGACAAAACTTTCATTTGCTCTATTTTGCACAGTGATTATATGCTAGACTAAAAACCACAGCAGTAATACATTTCTCGTCGAACTGATGCACTTGCTTGAAATGATGTTTTCGAGTTAAAAAGAATATTTCTATCCAATCTTATTTTTATGTATCATTTTTGTTAATAGTCATTCTAATGATGAACCTAGAGATTAAAGGAAAATAACAGAATTCTTACATTTTATACGTCTGACAGCTCATTTATGACATTACGTTTTCTGTTATAAAAATAACCTTTTTTTGCCTAGCTTCTTCCAATAAGAAGAAATATTTAAAAAATTGTACGATTCTATGCCTCTTACAAGAACTTTCTAATGACGTGTCAAGGTTTCAACGTGCAGAATAAGCTACAAACACTACACGAACTTTGTTCAACACTTACCGTTTTCAGTAAAGGGAATTTATTCTTGCAACTTTTTTGCATTTCTGTCTGACCAATACTGCAGTCCACTAGCAGATATTAAGCAGATGTATACAAGCTACTGACCTATCTTTAAACTACCATTTTAGTGAAGGACCAAAGTTAGAAACACATCCAGATGTTCCCATTATAACTATTTTCTTTCTTTTCTTTCTGCAGAGAGTTTTAAATATCAGACACATGCTAGTTCTATTGGCAAAATACCAAGCTTCCTGAATAAAGTTGTTATATGACTTTATATGACCTTCCATATTTATTCTGATGTGTATTTAGTAAAAGATCACATTACTTTTATATTAGCTTTATTAAAAGATTATATTACTTACAGATTACTGATGGACAAATAAATAAAAATAAGGTCAATTATATTAACTGAAGGAAATAAACTGTTTCTTTTTGCTTATACCCTCCAAAATGCCCTAATCAGCATTAGCCTACATATTTCACTCACAGACATGATAATTCAGACAAACAAAAAACAGCAACTTGTGTTAACCTTCAGCTAAAGGAAGCACTCATTTCAAGCTGACACCCTCCCATCCCGCAATCGTGAGCTTTGTGCAAGCTCCTGAGCAAGATATGCTGTCAGGAAATACTGGACCAGGAGAAAGAGATGAAAATGGCAAGAAGGTATCTATTTAGTATTTTCTAGTGCAAGCACTAAAGTGAATGCAGTGAGGCTTGCACTTAAGGACCCTGTTGCAACTCCAAGCGCAGCATAATCTTCAAGAAGCAAAGCAACACCACGTAGCTCACTGCAAGACTCCTAAAATTTACTTCCTCAGGAGAGTCAAAATTGCAGCATCCCAAGAACAAAACACTGCAACAGTGGGCACTGTGCAATGCCATAATCTCTAAAGCTAACGCCCCCCTTGCTGTTCCTCTTTGCTGGCATCGAAGTGGATTTCATAAGGCTTACGCTGTGCAACGGTGCCTTCAATGCGGTATCCAAGGATGATCGCGGCTCGCTGGATATCAACTCTGTTCATTAGGTCCGAGCACTTCAGAGCACTGAGTCTCTCTCCATCTTGGTCCTCCACAAAATAGATCAGCTCCACAGGGTTGTCAACACCAACTAACCGTGACACGTTCACAATCTGAGAAGAAATTGGAAAGCTTTTACATTTTAAGTTGTATTTATTTGGGGTCTCATACATTTGGTCTTTTAGTCCTTCCACTTTCTCCCCCTTCCCTTCACAGAGCCTGGACCTTAAGGATGCTTATCCAAAAAGAAACATTTGGAACAGCTTTGCCAAAATCGCATCAGTATCTGTCTTAATTATCACTGTGCGCAATCCTTAGTGCATAAAAAAGATTCCACCTTGTATTATGATGTAGGAATACAACTGCTGTTAAAGAAAATCCCCCTATCCGCGACACCAAAGAATATATTATACTAACCACGTAACCGCTGTGAACTGGCACAGTTTGGAAACTCTCCACACCCAGAGAAGTCTGACAGAAGACGTGCCATGCATAGTGCTCCAAAAGACTGTGCGGCAAAGACAACACACACAGAGGCTAGTTTTCTCGTCTGAGAAGACCTTCAGTCAACGCTGGACAAGTGCAGATATACAGAGCTAATATTCAGTAATAATAATATGCTTCCAAACTAAAATTCAGGATATGTTCACCTAATACTTACACAAAAGATTCAGAGTGGAAGTCTTCCAGCGGAAGACAACGTTGCTGGAATAACACATCGGTGTCTAACTACACAAGTGCTACTCAAGTGCTCCGGGGCCCTGCTAAATCTACAGAAATATCTGTTTGGTATCTGGAAGGAAAGTGTTCAGGGAAGCAATCAATACATTTTTATGGCAAAACTGAAGTTTCAATTTTTTTTTTCCCCTATTTGTTTCAAGACAACATAAAGATCCAGTATTGAAGCAAGAGAACTGCTTTTACTCTAAACATGCCAACACCATGCCACCCTGAAAGCTTCTACTGCCTTTAGCATGTGTCTGTTAGTAGGAGCTACTGAAGAGATTAGTGTGATTGCACTTTTCCTTCTCTAAATATGTACTCTGAATTTGCCTTGGTATTCATGACACACACTTCTTTGCTCCAGTTTTTCCAAACGTTAAGCAGCTACACCGACAAACATCCTGTTAGCTTCAAATAGAACTGTTTGCTCTTTCTCAGCGAAAGCACCTGCACCGTCACCTTTGTTCTCCAAACAGCTCTCCCTGGCATCCACCTCTTCACGAAGCAATGTGTTTGACGCTGTGGGAAGCGATTCTTCCTACCCACTTCTGAAGACGTTAATAAACAAAAGAATGCATGCTATGAGGAAGCCTTGTAGATACTCCCTAACCACCAAATATCTACACTGCATATGAGGCTCACAAAACAATTCTGAATTCCTGTAAAATTAAATCTTATACATAACAACTCTCTGCTGTTTAACCACTTACATGCAATGGTCAGCTCAAGCTAGAATCAGGCCAAACGAATAGCAGGAGGTATTCTATCATGCAAAACAGAGTTTGAAGAGCTCTGGAAGCAACTGCCACAAATAGAGCAACATATTTTGCTTCCTTCAGAATTATCCTTTACTACGAAGTACGTATTTAATAAATCAGAATTTCAAACAATGTCCGTAGGCTTAAAGTAAAGCAAACACACAAATGTTAGCATGTCTGTGGCTTACAAAAGCAAAGCTTTGTATTCTTTTTTCTTTGCTAGTTTCCAACAAAACAATCATGTTGAAGGAAAGCAGTGCAATGTTCTGTCTCAAAAGGGATGATGTTCTGGTCTCTGGGGATATCAACTCAACATGTCCTAAAAAACCATTTCCCAGGAGCGATAACAGCAAGGTATATAATAATAAAAAAAAAAAAAAAAAAAAAAAAAAAAAAAGGGAAAAAAAGAGAAAGCACAATTGTCATGGAAGACTTCTAGGTCAAATCAACGGAAAGCAAAGAATAACGCTGAATGTCAGTCACGTTTGATGTAAGAAACAGAACACCTACAAACAGAGCAGAAAAACATGCATATTTCTGAAACACAGCAAGACCTGCTAACAGGCCCCATTAACCAATGCTGCTTCCCATCCTGAATGCTCTTCACTCTTCTACCAGCTAAGGGGCAACCAATCCCTGACTGCAGGTAACAAAAGAGTATCAATCAATAAGGTTTCAAGACACATATTCAGCAGCTGAAAGGCTGAATCTGTCTTCATGGAACCCAGACATACCATGAGTTAACAAATGTCCACAGCTTCCTATTTCTGCTTCAGCTGGGCTGCCCTCACCACAGCCTGGCTCCGTGCACAGAGCAGCGGGGTGTATGGGCTGGTATCGGATGGACCCTCCCTAAGCAGCACTTCACTCACACGGGGAGTGAGGGAGTTTAAAGGCCATGTGGGACTGAGAGTCCATGGGCTCTTTGTTTAATTTTATGAAATGTCTTTGTGTGTAGCAAAGCTACGGAATCAGAGAAATTTAGGAGATTCTTAAATTGAATTTGTCACACATTTTTATGGTGGTGTGGAGTATCCAAGAAGTACTGTAATTATAGGTGTTCTACACACCAGGTAACAGCCCGAAGCTGGTTGAATGGGTTAAAAAACGAAACTTCTCCACAGCTGCCTTTAGAAAGGGCGGAGGGGAAGGAGGACAGATTCCAGTGAAGTTGCCACAACTGAAACACTACAGTTTTAACACAGACTTAAAAACAAGAGCATATGGCTCCCTGTGCTGAGAAACAGGGACAGGCAAGAACAGTCAGAAGGGAGATAGGAAGAAGTAGCTGGAGGTATTTCAGCACCAGCATAAAGAAATTCAGTGCAGAAATGCAGTATTCACACCATAACTGAGGGGAGCTGGGTATCGGTTTCTATTCTGGGAAAGCTGATGGCTGAACAGAGTATTCTTGAGGCGAGTATGAGCCACAGCTGGACTCGTACATAAACTCAGCAATTGTGACGCTATCTGTAGTTCAGTTTTCATCTCTGTCACACTGGTTCACAATAAAACTTTTTTTTTTTTTTCAAACTGTGAGTTTGCTGCAACACAAAAAATGGCACACTGCATCTCAACTGTTTTTAAGTCTGTTTATAAACTTCAGGTATGCAGCCACTGTGCCCATTTTTTAACACAGTTCCGGTATACTAAGTTTTGTGCCATTTTTCTCCAAATTATACTCTTTGTGCAGCTTCAGATTGGTTTTGTCTCGTGTTTTACAGAGGTGTCTCTATCCTTGAGAGTGCTAAGAATGCAAAGCAGAGTCAGAAATGGTAGTTTCCAGGCATCCAGCCATGCAGCCCATGTGTAAGGAAGCAATTAAGCATTTTACGTTTATATGTTGGCAGTGAGGGATAACACGGGGAGAAGGAGATACAAGAATTTCAATATATGGGAGGCAGAAAAAGGAAAAAAAAAAAAAGAAAAGATTAATTCAACTTCTGTGTACATAAATGATACCATCTTTGTTGATACTGGATGGGTGTTTAACCTCCACAGACTAAAGGCTTAACTGTGTTCAGGTGTCAGTAAATTTAATTTAAAAAGTGCTTTCAAGAGAATATCATAGGTCAGTGAACAAAGTTGCCTTGGTAACCAAATCTAGTTCATAATTTAAAGCGGGGAAATCCAGACGGTGGGCAAGCTCGCAAGGCGCTTGCAGCAGGTCGGTCAGCCAGCGGGACATCCCAGCCAGCATGCCCACCAGGAGCAGGGAATCCCTGGGTGAACTGGTTCAGGGGGCACAAGTGTTACTTTGAAACAAGCAAACACACACACAACCTCCAAAAATGCATGTACGAGGATTATTTTCCCTTTTTCACTATGCTTGTCCTCAGATTCTGCTTTCTGCCTTATTAAAAGTACGATTGCAGCGTCCGGGCAATGAAGTCCAGCTGTGCTGTGGTCTGCACGGTTCCACAGACAACGCAACACAACACCTACACGCAACGGGCACCGCGCGTCGCCCGCCCTGTGTCAGGGAAAGCTCTCCCCGCGGAGTGGGCTGCAGGCGTCGCCAAGGGAATTCCCTCCGTCGGCCAGCGAGCAGCCGGCTGGCAAACAGCCATCAGCACAGGCCACGGGCAGGCCGACAGCGGGGCAAAACGCCGAGGAGAAGATGATGCAGCAACAGAGCAAAGGCTCTGTTTGAAACCTGAACACTCCCAGCAAGGCTCGGCCTTTGCTCAGTTTACACACCTGGGAGAGACGGATAAGCTGCCGGCAGAAAACCAAGAGAACAAACCTCTGCCTTAATGAAAAACTCAATGCAGTTACATCCCCTTGTAGCTACTGCTTCCCCCACACAGCACAACCACAGCGTTGCCTCCTAACGTGTTCTTTAAATCAGAACATTGCTCTTCTGTCACTTAGTAGGTTCACCTTTTCACTTTCTACTAGGTTCAAAAGACCGAGCATGCTGAAAAGAAGGAAAATTTATTTTTGCATTAACTTCTGGTATGTTTTTGAACTACAATTAAGTCATTTAATTCCTAAAAAAATTTAATGAGTTATGATAAACTATTGACAAAATATAGCACGGGGCCTAGCCTCTGCAGACACAATTCAAACTGCATTAAACATGTGCCTTTGATTTGCAGCAAAAGCAGATACATATTAAAAATATCTATGATTTGCTCTGTGAAACATAAATATGAGTTCCGTTCATTTTTGTGTAATGCTATCTCATGTATAACAGTCAGGTGTGGGACTTCAGAGGGTTTTTTCCACGTAATGATTATAGGCTTTTTGGTTTTTAATCGTGGAGGGCCACCTGTTAAGAGGAGAGACAGGCAACCTGGGGACCAGGGGGATGGGACACGACGCAGACGGGACATGTTACCTGGGCGCCCTACGTAGTCCAAAGCTCTTATTCAAAGTGTCCAGAATTAAAGAGTAATTTTTAAAATTCAATTCAATGAGTAATTTTTTAAATTCTTAGATCCTAACACGTGCTTCTAGAAATGAAATCTTAACCTCACCAGCTACCACTTCTGTTCTCTTAGTATGTGAAAGGAAACTAATTTGCCTGCAGCAACGTTCACAAACAATTGCTTCACCTTCTGACCCTCAGTCCTGATTTTCCACAGAGCTTAGAAATGTCCGATTTCAATACACAATAAATACCTTTCACCTCAGGAAAAACTCAGGTCTATAGGGGCTCAGCACAAGTGAAATGTGTGGCTAGCCTTTCCTGGACATGTGTGTGTCCTGCTAATGAACGTATCCAACACTTCAGTGTTACTGGCAGCTTCTGTTCTTACTTTCACTATTGTAGCAGTCACTGGTTTGTGTGCAAGAAATATATATAGGCAGATCTGAATATAAAGCACAAAGAACATTAACAGCTCTCCCTGAAGACACAAACAGATGCATACATACAACACACTTCAAACACAGCTCATACACTTGGCTATGAGGAACAGAACTAGTAGCAGTAAAACTAAAAGGTTTATTGCAAATGACTATGGATCAGATCCTCAACTGACAGGGGAGCATCCTTGAAAGCAACTGTCCTCCACTGAGAAGCCCACTACCAGATGCACCACTCCAGTTGCCCACAACAGCCTCCCAGACTGTCACACCTACCACAGACCTGAACACCCTGTCAAAGCAAGCTACCAGGAACCTATAGTACCTGATGGCACCTATCATTCTCGTGCAGGAAAACAGGACACCTATCACAGACACCTAGCACCAAGGTATCTCCTTGAGCCTTCCTTCTTCCACATCTCCTTTATTACAGTGCTAACCCTATCTCACAGCATGGGCTGTGAGCATCTGGAGAAGCCCTGTGTTATGTGGGATGGTATGATGCACTGACCGTAACTAAGACGATCCTCCACTGCCCAAAGATAGCAGTTTGCAGACTCTTTGCACTAATTAAGCAGCGTAAATGAGCAGCACTGCTGTTTGTAACCTGACCTGCAGACCTCATCTTATGTCCCAGTAAGTAATACAAGCTGTAAGAAAAACACTGTATTTTCACTTTCTGAAATACTATTATTTTAGAAAGGACCTGCTTGTAATTTTGTGAGTGCAAAAATAAATTACCTGAGTTTTATTATGTAAAATAGTAAAACTGTAATCTACATGTACACATTTTACAGGCTGTGGCATCTTTGCTAGCAACATAAGGAATATTTATTTAATTTGTATGCAAAGGGAGGTCTGAGGCATAAAGAACAAAGAGCAATAAGAGGTGTTGGGAATAGAAGATCTAAAGCAGACATCTATTTACAGCAATTCAACACTGCACAAAAGAAAAATAAAATAAAATCTCTGTTACTGAAACAGATGTTTCTGAGACAGGAAAACAAAAGTAAAATACCAACATCTGGAAATCTAAGTGGCAGCAAAAACTGCAGATTAAATTAAATAAAGATAATAGGTCTGAACTACTGGAAGAGCATCTGTGAAGTAAACCAACTGTTGGTGAATTAGCTGGAAAAAGCAGTATCTGAGAAGATGAGCCACTATAAAGTATTTTGGCTTTCAGTTTGTTGAGCTGACTAGAACGAACATGTGTGATAATTTAAAGATTAAAACTGAATATCCAAGTCTTTCTGGACATTATGTGAATAATTCCACCTGTGACAAAACCATAAAGCAGCACTGGAATCCAGATAGCAGAAGCTGCCATGTGTGCAAAATTTGACATGATTAATAATTCTTACTTGAAAGCCATTCCTGTAACCAGGAGTACTGTGACAAACAGGCAGTAAAGGGGTAGAATATACTACTCTACTGCTGCATCAAGCCACACATGATTCTATTTCATATTTCTACACTGCCATCAAAACATCACAGAGAGCTGCGAAGTAGCTGTTCCAGAGTACTTTTTCTCACTCGGATGAGCATCCTGTCTCCTTTTGCTAGGCACCTCATGGAAGTGAGATAAGCCAGCAAGTTTTTAAAATAGAATGCTGGTAAAAGAATTTTCAATGTAGTTTTTAAGAAGCCATCAGAATTCTTTAGTAGCCACTTACAGTACTCAGTTGTTTCCATTTGTTATGTTTAGCTTAAAAGACAACAAGGTATCCAAAAGAACCGTAATTTAGGTGCAAAACAAGCATCATAGCTAAACGTGATACACGCTTATGAGTTATCTTTATGAAATCAAAACCTAGACAATATTAACTTCTTCAGTAATTTATTACCCTTTCTTTCTTCCTCTGACTTTGAGCTCGTAATTAATACCTGCACAACGTTGCTGCCTGCAAAACTGGCGCGTCTCCAGATCCTCCGGCTGACCAGAGCCTCGTTGAACAGGTGAGCTAGCTTCCGCTCCATCTCCGCCTGAAACACCTCCTCCTGAATTCGCTGGTCGACAACACCCAAGAGAACTACATTGCAGAGAAAGCAACCCAAGAACACAAATGAATTAGTAGAAGTTTCCAGTATCTTTTCTGCAACTTCAATTGCAAGCTTTGAGTCACCCTGTGACATCTCAGGGACAATTCAAAAGCAGCTGCGTTTGTACGGGAACACTGCCCAGTTTAGCCACAGGTTACATGTTGGAAATGAAGACACTGGGTGGGAAAAGGTTAAAATCAATAAATAAATAAAATTAGGGCAGAGGACATTTTCGGAATCTCAACCAATCTAGACAGACCCAAGATAGTGAACAAAGAGTTTCAATTCTAAAAAAAACATAAACTTATCAGCATTCATTAAATTGCTTAAAAACAAATCAAAGAAAAATCAGTCTAAATTGTCTGCTGCAACTACTTTCACGCAAAATTTTGTGTTCAGAAGTGATACAGAGGTGGAGATGGGCAGGCCAAGGGTTCAGAAGCAAGGAGAAAAAATAGCAGACCAGCAACACATAAATGAAGCTGTGTATTCTAAGCACATCTTCCCTAGGTAAGATTAACAAGTATGACAATTATAGCACAAAAAACTGGTTAGTAGCCCTGCCCACTTCCCAACCCCAGCTACTCCGGGTCACTGGGGCAGCTCATGCTGACAGGAATCCCTGAGGAACACCACACAGGAAACATGAAAAAAGTGTGGACCTTTGCTAAAAAGATGGCATCCAGTAAAAGTGGAGTGAATGGGGCGACAGTCATTCAAATGACCCAATTAAACAACCCTAAAGGACAGTAAACCAACTCACCACTGACTGCAGTAAAATAATTCAGTTTTCATTCCTGAGGCTCTCTGCTAAAATGGTTTATATTTTTTAAAAGTCCTTTTTCAGTAAGTGTTTTCATGTTTACTGTGTGGTGCTTAATAAAAAGCCATCCAATCAGATAAAATGAAATATAATTTTAATTGTTTTAATTTTTAAAACAAAAATACAAAAGCCACTTCTTCCATTTAAAAATTTTTGCTGCAGATGTCCAAAAAAAGAAACATTTTCATGATTTCTTTTAGAGATCAACAGCATTTGCCTTCCAAATTCAACCACAGACTAAGTATCTCAGAATTAAATAGCAAAACAAATAGACAGTGGCCTAAGGCTATTATACACAGCAAGCAGAAGACTGCTTTTGCCTGTGTCTTGAATTTTAGTATCAAGGAATTACGCTTAATAGCATGAACTGTATTCTACAACTGAGAGGGACAGCTACAGAGAACACTGCATATCCCAACATTTTATGACTACTGGGATACACACACATGTATCTGGGTATTCTGACATTAAAAATCTCACCTTTACGTGTATAAATGCTATTATTTTCCTATGTCATGAGTCATTACCCTTACAACACAAGATACAGACTGGAAGGACTGACCCAGCTGAAGTCTACTCGCTCTTCCCAGGCTGCCTGCAAGAACTGGGATTACAAAAAAATTCCTCTACAGCAAAAAAAAAAAACAAAAAAAAAAAAAAAAACGGTGCTGCACTTGGCTTTCAAAATCTTACACTCTGGAAGTTTAGAAAAACCCAAACAGACGTGATTTCTGGGCTGGAAGAACCCTCTTCTTACCGCAGGATCAAAGGGAACTTCCATCAACAACGGAAAGCAAACCTAAGGCTGAGCAAGAGAGGGTGGGCGTGTGACAAAAAAAGCCAACCTAAATCTCTAAGGAAGGATGACGCTGGATGTGGGATACACACGTGGAGCTTCTCTCACGTTACTGAACATGATTAGAAATTCTTCATTTTTCTTCTCTAAAACAAACTGCGTGGGCATCAGAAATTAAGCTGTAACTTGGTTTCCTGCTTAAAACGTAAACTGGGTCACTGGTGAGAGGAGATAGGAACACCTGAAAAAAAGCGAAGTCTACACTACTGCTGAACGACAGGTGGAAAAGTTGTGGAAAGACAAAAGTGCCTCCAGTGGGGCATGTGCACCCTAACATCAAGTTTGCGAGGCATGGCCTGGACACCATTCAGGCCTTCTGCTTAGAAGCAGCAGGTAGGACCTACAGCATGCAGGCAACGTCAACAGCCTTTGAGCATCTAAATGTGACAGCTCCGTATCTGTGAATTAGAGAATAAAACATCCAGAGGATGTGGGTGGGAGGGATCTGCTGTGAATGAATCAGAAGAGATCAATGAAACATGATGAAACTCTTTCACGTACTTGGAATGTATCTATTTTCATTCTGTTTTATTCCTGGCATGTTTTGGTAGAAAGTGCCACGCAAATAGAATTTTAATCTTCTCTTAAAATAAAGCAAAAAACCCTAAAAATCAGTGCGGTATATCAAGAGCATGCAGAGTAGACACTTGATGGCTGACAGTGTAAGTTGTCTCCCTAAGAATGAACTGCTTGATAGACAAAAATTACTTTGTGTGCATTATCAAGGAATTGCAGTAGTTTATTCTAGATCCGGGAATTATATTTCCCAGATATTCCAGGTCACTAGGCCTGTGGTCTCAGAATTTATTCAGCTATGCACGTTACTACCTCATAAAAATGCAGCACCCCTAAGCCACCTATATTTATGTAGGCTAGTTATCCTGCTAACAAAAATAACTGCACTCTTACTTACTCACAGAGACTGTACGTACCTGTTCTCACCCAGGAAGACTTCATCAACTGAGACACATTCAGCTTAGGATACTGAAAGGCTGAGGGGAAAAAAAGAATGGAGGAAAAACACCCGTAAGAACAGTATTCTCAATAAGATACACACAAAAAAGAAGCCACTTCATAATTTATGTTGTCAGCAAGCATCTTATTTACATAGATGTATTACTATTCCTGAGGCTACACAGACACAATGGTAAGGGAAGTGCACTCCCCAGTTCGTCTCTGAATAAAAAGAAGCTAACTGAAGCAGTCAGATTTATTACCTGAAAGATTTCAAGCTGCTGTACCGAGGTCATTGCTCCTAGAAATACAAAAGCTTGCTGCCTGAATTGTGACTCTTACTGAGCTAGCTGCAGGATCAGACTTTTGCTCAAAGGGCAACAAGGCAACTCATGAGTATCTCAATGAAAATCAGACCTTCTGTGAGGCAGAAACTACACGGAAACACTAAATGTAAAGCAGAAAATGAATCATTTGCGTTCCAGACTTGTGCACGGGGAAGCATTTAAAAAACACCACCTTGATAATTTTTGTTGTTGTTACAAAAATCACGAAAAAACACATGTAGAAACATCGCTGTAGCCAAATCTCATGGCTTTTGTGTTTGGCTTGGTGGCTTCAAGCTTTCTTCATTTCTCAAGTCTTCAAAAAAAGCTCTGCCCTACAGTGAAATCCTTGCCCCAGTGAAGTAAGTAAAAGTCTATTTCCACTGACTCCAGCAGGGATACGATTTTTCCCAAGGTTTCCACTGGAGAGCAGTAAAGGTTTGTTGGGAAATAAGTGAAGATTGGAGCTGGGCCAAAAGTTTCCTCAAGGGAAGTCTTAAGCTTCACTACGGAAATAAGGAAAAGGAATAGTCTTAACTTTCCCAAAATATTTAATCCAGATGCAGTTTGCTAAGCATTACACAAAGGTTAATTTTTAAACTATTCCACAGATAGAAAGAATGCGGCACATAACAGATAAATGACCTGGTCCGTGCCAGATTGATTTAGAGTGAAGATGTCTTGTCTTTAGTTGTAGCATAGTTTGCCACTATTACATGATTCAGACAAACAGAAAATTACCATTTTTCTTATTTAATTATGTAATAATTTGTAGAATAGCTGACCTCTGTCAGTGTACCTAAAAACTTATTCTATTGCCCCTTAAAAAACTTACAAATTCTTTGTTAAAGCAAGAGCAAAGGAATCAACAGTTGCGTTGTACCTTTTATTTTTATAGAGTTTTAAATAGTCCTACGGAAAAAAAAAATGAAAATCTGGTTAGGCCACCTTGATGTCGATAATAGCACTATTAGTTTCAAGAGAACCAGCTGGGAGGTTCTTTGTGACTCACTATTCAAGGAGGGTATCTCCGATACGGTCCTTTATTCTGAAGAGGAAACATCAGCCCTCTATACACTGACCAGGATGCATCAAATTTCCACAACTCTCAGCCTCACAAAAAGCACCTCGCAGCCCATTTAAACACACACATTTATTTTTGGCATCCTGCGACATGATTCTTCTGATCATAGCTTTTAGATTGGAGTTCTATTTACTCTGGTCATGCAATTGTTTAATTCAGAAATACAACATGAACAAAAAAGCAGAAACAAAACTGCATCTGTTGTTTTTCTAAAGCATGGAAAGAGCTAGATAAGAAAATCAAAAACCTTCCAATGGCCATAAAACTTTGAACTGCTAGCAGTTGCAAGTTTTTTCTTCTTTTCTTCTTTTGCCTCAATACTTCATGTGCTCTTTACGCTTTTTCTAATTAGTACTTGAAAATGATTTAATTCATGCAAATTGCTGGATGACTATTCACTTAAACTTTTCATGGAATTAATGAAATTTAAAAATAAAACAACTTGAGCAGAAAATCTTGAAACTGAAAAGGAAGATGTGCCATGATCACTGGCAGCTAAGGCTGGGTTCTAACACCTGATGAAGAATGCATGAAATGACAGACCTTTCTGCAACTGAGACCACGCTCAGAAGGCAGAAAATCCAGGCTCCAACTCTTATTCCATGGGTCACTGAAGTGTCTCATCAGCACACACGTAGCCAGATCCTGAGCTCAGCTGGAGCCTCAGCACTGCAGCAAGATCATGGGACTAACGATTAAAACCAGCACAGACTGACTGGTATTCTGAGGGGGAAGTTGGACAGGCAAAATGCAATGATTAGTTAAATTGTGGCTGGTCTGCTAATGACTACAGATGCATTAACAAAGTAGATGCTATCATCATCAGAAGATGCTAACCTGCAGCCTTGAAGCCCCACACTGTGTAACAGCATTGCCTCGGTGCTGACCGAAGAGGCAATGGGTCACCTCACACACTTGGCAACATGGCCTTCACCAGGGTGCTTCCAACAAGGACCTCTCTGACCCTCTCATAGAGACGTGTGGGACCATGCAGGATAGAACCAGTACCCTATTGATCATTCTTATTTCTGGTAATTGGAGGAACAGTAATAGAAAGCACGGAGAGAATGAGAAGACATCATCTCTTGCAGCTCCTGATGAAGACCATGGTGAGGCAGGTTGTCCCCCTGCAGCCCATGGAGGTCCATGGTGGAGCAGATATCCACCTGTAGCCCATGGAAGGGACCCCATGCTGGAGCAGGTGGATGCCTGCAGGAAGCTGTGACCCCGTGGGCACCCCATGCTGGAGCGGGTTCCTGACAGGACCTGCAGACCCATGGAGAGAGGAGCCCACGCCGGAGCAGGTTTGCTGACAGGGCTTGTGACCCCGTGGGGGACCCACGCTGGAGCAGCTTGCTCCTGAAGGACTGCACCCTGTGGGAAGGACCCACACTGGGGCGGTTCATGAAGAGCTGCAGCCCGTGGCAAGGACTCACATTGGAGAATTTTGTGGAGAACTGTCTCCTGTGAGAGGTACCTTCACGCTGGAGCAGGGGAAGAGTGTGAGGAGTCCTCCCCCTGAGGAGGAAGGAGCGGCAGAGACAACGTGTGATGAACTGACCGTAACCCCCATTCCCTGTCCCCCTGCACCGCTCAGGGGGAGGAGGGAGAGAAACAAGAGTGAAGCTGAGCCCGGGAAGAAGGGAGGGGTGGGGGGAAGGTGTTTTAAGATCTGGGTTTATTTCTCATTATCCTCCTCTGATTTGATTGGTGATGCATTAAACTCCCTTTTCTCCCCAGGTTCAGCCTGTGTTGTCCGTGACGGTAATTGGTGAGTGATCTCTCCCTGTCCTTGTCTCGACCCTCGAGCCTTTCATCACATTTCCTCTCCCCTGTCCAGCTGAGGAGGGGGAGCGATAGAGCAGCTTTGGTGGGCTCCTGGCATTTATCCAGGCCAACCAAAACACTGTTGTTTTTAATCAATTAGCACCCAAAAACGATGACTAGACTTGGTTTTCTTTCTGCTGACATGCAGTTCATGACCATCTAAACAGTTCACAGCCTAAAATGTGAGATGTAAGGTGGACAAACTGAACTTTTGAATTCAAGCATGTTGCTGAAGTCACCTAGAAATCTGGAGGAGGAAGGAAAACGTCTAGAAGCTTCCAGGCTTGACCACTCCAACAGCCCTGTTCTGCACAGAACAGTCCATTCTGCCAAACTAACAACTTTCACTGCTGGCCCTGACTCTAAATGAGTGGAAAAAGCTGACAAAAAATTCCTGTTGTTGTTGATGTACTGCACAGGGACAACCCACACAGTCAAAAGTACAAACAGCACACATTAGTTATGCAAAGACTGTGTGTGAAAGGCAACGCGAAGTGAACAAGCAGCAGGGAACAAATACATTCCTCAAACAAGGCTCATATTTGGGATAGCGAAGGCAAGGTCTCACTTCACTTGACAGTGTTGAGATACAGTGATATTGCACAAGTAGCTTTTCCTTAGTATGAATCAGCTCCAATTCCCTGACAGCTCAGCTCACCTACAAATCAGCTCTTTTTCTTCAGATGCAGATTACAAAACTTACAAAATCATACATGCAGAGCTCTGGGCGGGGGGAGAGAAAAGGTCACCACCAAGAGTATTAACTGTCACCATGCGCGATAACTAAGGTACAAATGGCATACATTAGTATGGCAAGGAATATTTCATGTTTACATATAAACAATAACATATGTAAATTGTTTGTATATATGTAAATATATAAATATCCAAAATCCCCCCAAAAGTTCACACTGAAAAGCGGAGGGTTGCATAATAATTTGCACAGAACAAAGCAGCTACCTAAGGAAGACCTTCACAACACTTTCCCTGCTACAGGTCCTCTGTAGACCAAGATACAGCATGAAGGTAGAGAGTTCAGGGCCTAGAAAACAAAAACATTTCGGCATCTTCCTGCCAAAGGAGCTTTGAGGATCTGGCTGTTGGTCATCCTCAAGAGACTGCTGAGTAAGACGTCTCAAGAAGGATCTGCCCAACGCTGCTGAGCCTTTGGACATGATTTCTGGCTCTGAATACCGACGATCTAAAACCCTTTGGCTCAAAATACAGTCATAGCAACAGTGCAAAAAACTGTAGAAACAGCTAAAAATAACCGAGTGTGGTTGCCTCGCTTATGAAAGTGTATGAGCCACTTTCATTACTGTGCTTGCTGACAGACGGACCCATAGCTCTAGCAAGCTGAGAAACTGTGTTCCCACTTTGCTGACTTACCGAATCGCACCATGTCTGGTGTTCCAAAAACAGCCACTACAAATGTGCCGAAGCACTATCAAGACCAAACCAGACAAGTTCAAATCAAAGTGAGCTGTCCTGCAGTGGGCTCAATCTACAGTAAATATGAGTTCCTCTAGCAACAAGCAAGTCAAATGCTGACAAGATGTTCCTTGATTTAGGGCACCACATCCATGAAACCCTCACATTTTCTACACTGTAAGCGTTGCGAAGATCTCATTGTTCCTAAATCTCTGAATTACTCGACTGAAATTTAATATATTTAATTCATTACATGTGCTTATTTAATATAGCATTACATGCTTTGAAAACTCAGTCTAGACAAATTTGAAGGTCGTCTTCAACATTTCTCTGTCAAACAAAGGGACACCACCACCAACAAACTCTGGCTAAGATCTACTTGCAAGTGCTACACTCTGTTGGCAACATTCATTGAATAAACTACAGCAGCGGTTAGGTGGGGTCATTGAAGGCAAGAGTGCGTATACATAGGTTTTTCAGCTGTCATCATCCCCGCTACTGGGGATGTGCACCAAAGAAACAGCATTTTTCAAGATCTCCAAATGGGAGAATTTGGAAATGAAGTGTGTATCATGATGGACTTCGTCACCATTGATGAGTAACTCTGCCTTCCTACACTAAGTGTCTGCTTGAGGATTTGAGGTTCAGTATTGTTTGGCAGATTTGGTGGATTTGAGGGGAGCAAGAATAATTTTGTGTTTGAAGTCTGGAAGGCCTGTGCTGGAATTTGCAGGAATGGCATTCCCACACTATTGGCATACTTGTTTAAAATCGCCAGCAGGAACAAACAAACAATTCCTGGAGCTTCAGAAACAAAGTTTTAGAAATAACTCACCCACAGGCTTGGACATGCTGCTGTGCTAACAGAGGCTAAATTTGCCAGGCCACAACAGCCAACATCTACATTACTTCACTGCAAAACCTCAGAATAGGCAGGAAAGGAGGAGAAATCCAAATGGGACCTTTTTCCAAAGGCACTGCCTGACCTCTTCTCATTCTGCTTTGCATGACTTTCTCATTAAGATGTGAGCTACCACAGACCTCCACCAGCATCGGCCAGGAATCAGCCCCACTGGCCAGGCACTACCAGCATGCAGATAACACGGGGAGAGCTCCTGCTCTGAGCACTAAAGAAAAAATGCCTTCAAATTTCTTAAGTACCATCAGGAAAGGAAAATAAGGAGAACAGCATACAAGCATCTTTAATAGGAATGTTCTTCCCCTATGACCAGCCTGTCTTTCAGGATAAACTGGCCTTGGTAGAAATTCTGTTATCATTTAATTGCACTGTAGCTCCATCGCACAATCCAGAAGATTGATTCTCAGCAAGGGGCAACCTCCAAATTCATTACAAATATCACTCCAGAATATGTAATAAAAACTGTAGCACCAGATGTCTGTACATCACAGGAAAAAAAAAGCCCATCAACACCAAAAATCTTGCTCAAGAGACTAAAAGTTCAATAAAGTCTAGGGCAAAGGCGCACAAGAGATGACACAGAATGAAGAGAACTATCTTTCAAGCAATCAACGCAAGAGCAACATTTAATCTGAATTCAGTGAGAGATGAAGACCACAGCCTGCAACCCGAGACGTTGTGTGGGCTCACAAGGAGCAAAAGAAATGCTAGTCATCTGTGGACAGGGATTCTCAAAGCTTTTGGTCCTAGCTCAGTTAAACACAGCTACCACTGCACAGGTACAGTCTATGTGAGACTGAATGAGAACTGAAATGTTTGAAAGAAATGAGTCAACCACCTCATATTTTTTTATTTGATTATGGGAACAGAGGGTTCAAAAATGTTGAAAAGTGAAAAGTTTAAAAAAAATCAGTACATTTAAACTGCTTCTAGTCCTTGGGAAAATATCCTATGTAATCATCTCACATAGGTTTAAAGGGGCTATGGAAAGCAACTTCTGCAGACAATCACTCTCCTTACACTACCTTTATTGACATACTACTGCACAGCTGCATAATGAAGAGCAGGTACCATAAGGCCTGATTTTCCACTAGACATTTAACTGTATAGCAAGAATCACTGTGTCAGATTTTACGCACCTAAACAGCTCACAGAAATAACTCAGAAAATTTAAAATCTGCATTGGAGGTAAGAGAAACAGGGAATTAATGGACTAAATTAACAGTAACACCCACCGGGGGGAAGGCAAGTACTGTTCTCTCACGATCTTGCTTACGTTCATGAGTCATTTCTGTCATGAACATTCCATTAGTGTACAAGGAAAAGTGTTGAGTTTAGAAACTTGGCTTATTGATGAGACTGAGGTCATTTGAAAAATCTAACCAAACATAAGTTGTCAAGGCTGTGTTGAGCAAACTCTGCTATGCAGGCAGTTGCCATTAATCTAAGTTTAGGATGGCCATGGACTGCAAAAAATGACTTGCATGCAAGTTGTACCTAAGAGGCGAGAGACATGCTTAAAAGGTGACACCTTAAAAGATAATACACTACTCAAAAAAGCACTGCTGCTGACTAACAGATAACCCAGACAGACTACACGGGCAAATACAAGCTTATGCTGCCAGTGTCCCAGCCTCTCTAACAGTCAGAGCCACAGTTAAGTGCCATGCAAAGCCCAAGGCAGTAAACCCTGCAGAGAAGCAGCAAAGTCCCCTGTAGATATAACCACAGACACACACTTTGGATTGCACTTCACAGCAATATTGATCAAAGTGACTTTTTTTTTTTTTTCTCCCCAATCTGGAGTAAGACCAACGGACAAATGAAGCCAGGTTAAGCACAACTGGCCCAGAGCAAAACAAAAGCAACAAGTTGCTCTAACACTGACACGCAGTATGTGAGCAGAGAGGGGCATGAATGTGCTCTGCAGAATTTGTTACATAAGTTAGGTACTTCAAGCTACATTATCGCTTATGCACAAAATTACTTTAAAATTGTAGAGATGAAAAAATCCTTAAAAAAAGCATTTTGCAGTCCTGGCAAACTGCAAGTACTCACGTTCAGCAATCTGCTGCACAGGAAAGCCCAGATAGAAGCTGAATTCCACCACGGACAAGTTTCTTAGCTGCTCGCTGACTTCGGACCCGTTTAGAAAACCGTATTGATCTCGGATGGCAAAAACAATGCTCACGGGGCCTTGCCGAAATGCTGCCCCAGACCTGCTCAGAGTTATATTCAGTATCTGAAAAGACAATATGGAAGTAGGGTCAACAAAATCAAACCACTGGCATTTCCTTTCCTTCCCTGACAGAATTTTTTTTCCCTGTTATGAAGGGGGGCAATTCACATCAAAACTGAGGAACGTCTATTCCAGATAGATTCAGCCTGCTAAGTCTCAGAAGAGGTAAAGATACATGTGAATTCCTCTTCTAAGCATTATCCTTTAAGGTCAATCATAATCCAGAATGACCTAAAAGCTAAAGTCCAGAAAATCATGGAAAAAACCACTTAGAGAGACAGTCAGAAAAATAAATCTGATGATAAACAAATCTTAGATGTATACCAAACTGTGTGGAACAAACAGGAAGAGACCATGGTAAAGAAACATTCTGAAAATGGATGTTCTCTTGGTCAAAACCTCCTGCACCATGCATGCTCAGACTCTGCCACTGGTTAGAAGCCTTATTTTGGCACCAATATACACAGCAACTGTGTTCATGTAGACAAACATCTTCCAGACAGTAAGGAAGTATTTAAAATTAACGTTTGCTAAGCTGATAGCCCAATAAATCGTTTTGCATGTTCTGTCTTCAGTCTCTCCAGTCACCTTGTGCCATCCGGTTGTACAGTTCTGAGCATTTTAATACATGTACTATATAGTACTTTAGGTACCATCTACTTTATGCCATTTTTCCTGCCATGATTTTATTTTAGGGTACCACAGATGGGCGTTTATGGTGCCATTTAAATAACACGATAAAATTTTTACTAATTTTGGTATTACAACAATATATATTAATTTCAAGAATGCAGACAGAAGAGAGAGTTGGTCTCATGAAGCTGAATTACTAACTTTCCAGGGAGTTTTAAGCTCTGCTGTGTGATTCAGTACCCAGCACATATGCCATACGTTTCATACGTGAAGTTCCAGTAGCAGCTGCCACAGACACAACATACTGCTGTAAGTATTTCTAGACCTCAGAAGCAACTAGCATGTTTGCTCCCATCATGGCAGAGTGCATATAGCTCCTATAATTCCCTGATAGGATCCTGGATGGCAATGAGACCTGAAAGTTGTCTTCCAACAAAAACATTCTAACCACATCCATCTCTGTAATAGTAAAACCTGATGGGAATGATTTTGACAAGGACTGGGGCAGCCCTTATCTAAAAAACTATGAACCCTATTACATTCAATAATGCTTTTGGACATAAATCATTATCATGGACCATTTTTTCAAAAATTTTGAAACCAGAGGGATATATGGTGCCATATTATTTTGTAGAGGAAAAAAAAACCACCCCGACTTCACAACAAAGCCTCATAGTTCTACATGATCTAGCTGGCAAGTGGTAGCCAGTGAACACCTAACTCGTTCTACGGGCTGGATGAAACACAGGACAACCAAACGTGAGGAGAAAAAGGGACAGACACAAAACACGCTACTCTTCTTACCTGCACAGTGAAGTTGTAGAACTCCTGGTGTTTGCTCACCTCCATGAATGCCATTGTCAGCCCTTTCTCAATGCGCCGGCTAAAGCTGCAGAACCCAACATCCACGTTCCGAGGCACAAACTGAAGCACTGAAGGCAAAGGGTACACATTACTCCTCCAGACAAGTACGTCCACGAGAGAGAACGAGACGAGCAAGAGAATCCACAGGGCTATCACTTTTTCATGGAATTCAGGACATATTCAGTGAAACACTGGGTAAAAGTACAGTGGAAATATATTTTATATTGGTGTAGTAAGTTCTCTACTCATTAACACCTGTTGCAGCAATAATTAGATTACTGAAAGACACTAGTGACAAAATACCCACTGTTTCCTCTTGCATACTGAAAGACCTTCACCACACACGCGTGGCTAATTTTACATGGCCTGAACACTGAAATCCTTAGCACCCAACAGATCAATGAAAATCAAAGGAATAAAGCAACAAATCTCTTTCTTGTAGCCTCAAATACAGTATTTACCTTGTCTATATGACCACATATTGGGTCCATTAATACACATTAGTATCAATCTAACACTTTCAAAACAGTTAATTAGCAAATAATCTTTTACATCTACATACATACACCTTAAAGTCTTTCACAGGAGAGAGAGTGAGCATAGAGAAATGTGAGGAGGCACAAAGACCTTAACTATATGCACATCTGTGGATTTCCTGATACAGTCTTACCCACAGAAATGCTATGATTAGGTTACAGACCCTAACACCAAGGTTCAAGAACAGAAAATATGTCTACTGTCTATCTTTATAACCATGTTAAGCAGTGGAAAATGACATCACACCTGCACAATTAGAGAACTGATGTCTTACCATAGAGTTATTAACAGAGCAGAAACAATACATGAAACATACCTGAACAAAAGCACACTGTTTGACATTCATTAACTCTCTGCCTATATACACAATCCCTGTCACTACCTCATTACACAGTCAACCAACGAGGCAGGTGGTTTTGTTATGCAAATAGTGCCTGAAGATGATTTTAAATTATACCACTGACTCTCAAAATCTATTACATGGGTAATCTTTTACTTTAGATTATTAGTCATCATGGACTTCACATAAACTGCAGCAGCCACGGAAAGCTGAATACTACATGAGCAATCCTCCTGCTCACATTATACATGAGCAATCAATCCTCGGGCTCACCAGTCCTCTTTCATTATGAGAATTCGAAAAAGTAGCATTTACTGTAAACTTAACTTGAAACTTGACTCCAGCATTATAAAGAAGCTGCACTGTGATTTTATGAGTAAACGCTCCACAGAAATTTTTTTCTCTTGTCGCCTTTTGAAGCAAGATAAAGAGCAGACCTGTTTTGCAACGTGGCAAAAAAATTTTCCTGAAAAAATAATGAAATCATGGAGTTAACTGTTTACATTTTATCACCTCTCAACGATGGATCCAGCAAGTATTTCACTAACAACCAAGAACTAGGACTCAAAGCAGTAGAACACAGGGTTTTGACCCAACCTTGCATACTTAACCACGAGTGAAGGAGTATGAATCAATACAACGCTACATCCCCTCCTCCTCCTGTCAGGAAGAACTCACCTGTCTGAACTTGGAATCTGTTATCTGGCACAGTGAAAGACGGATGCAGCGAGAGGATCATGGGGGCCTCACCGCGAAGAAGACTGCTGTTCACAAGCACGTTTATGACAGCTACTGCCGTGTAAACAAAAGGACCTGATGTCACCAAGAAAGCAAATTTGGGGGAAATTTTATAAACCTATAAAAAAAAAGAAAAAGACATTTTTAAAAAACACTTCGGTGGGAAATTTGGCAACACTTTAGACCTACATAGTCTCACACACTTCAAAGCCACATCATCAAGAGGCAGGAAAATGCAATCTTTATTTTTCAAAGAGAGAGCAGAAGCACAAACACGCTGCCGGTGCTGTGCCTTGCAGCCTCTGCTCCAGTGCATCAGAGAGGTAACTCCCCTGTGCTAGGTGCACCTACTAGAATCTCTCCAGCACAACACACCAATCTCAACGCTTCTTGATTTATCACATCCCAGCATAGCAGCACTCCCCCTCACCGGCATTGCCCTGGAGTACATAAAAAGTTCCCACACAAAATTGCTGTTTACTTACTGAACTGGTTGCATAGCTTCTGCGTTTCAGTCATATACTGCATAGCGAATACATGCTATACCATTCACATGTAATATGCAAGGAGCAAAACACACATAACTTGTGTTTTAAGGTTATCATTTTCACACTCAAGAACACTTTCTTCCAGAGGACACTTGTGTCTGCTTATTTCAGCACTGTTACCCAATTACAATTTTCCGCTTCCAATTCATCTCCTGACTTTGAGTCTTTCTAAAAACCCTGAGCCTTAGTCATCATGCAGAAGAAATTAGATGATTGTAAGTTAAATATACACCTACACGAATGTTTCCATGCAGACACTCTTATCCACCATTTCTCTGTCACTTAAGTGAGAATAAACTGAAGGCTTTTATTTCTCTAAACATTCTGCAGTGCCTTCTCTCCTTCAGAGAAACACTCTCAATATCAAGGACACCTGTTTCCTCAGCACTAATTTTTTCCTCTTTGGTTTACTCCTCTAGTTTGTTTTATTTGCCTAAGGCAGTCACACTAAAATATTGTGAGATGTCCAACACGATGGCCTCACAAATAAATAAACAATCTCAACCAGATACCCAAAGGTTATGATAAATGTGCACTTCTTCAATGAAGAGATGCTAGCACTTTGCAGGCTTTGTGCTGGTGACAGGATATTCTGCTAGATATCCTCAGCTTCAGGATTAGCCTTACAGAAAAGCACAGTGCTACTTAAACTGTGACCTTACTGGTATTTCTGCAACAGTGTAGCGTGACAGCAATTGCTGTTTAGATGAGACAGCACACAGCTCTTTCCTGTCCTCTAAAAACATGCATTTCAAAGAGATCATCTCCACCAGAAGAAACTACCTGAGCAGCAAAAGGAAAAAAAAAAAAAAAACCACACACAAAGAATCTATGCTGCTCATTACTTCTTCCTTTCTTCTTAGTCCACAAATATATGCCACATCCAGCTTTTATTTTAAATGGCTTTAGGCCCATAAAACTCAAATTTGTTTGATATGAATAATATGCACAGCTCTTTTTAGTTCCTCTTATCTGAAATTTTATCCTTTTATGTCAGCATGAAATGATCTCTGCAGCTTCAGTTTGTCAAATGGAAACAGCAGTTATAATGGGTAAGACATGCCAAAAGAAAGTTGCCCATTACTTGCAAAGGAGACTACTTAAAAGGCAAGTAAAAGAGGAATTAGAATTACAAATCTCTGTGGCAATTTGCTGGTGCTTTCTAAAGCAATATATGCTGAGGAAGAGAGGCCTCGTGTAGCCAGCATATACTTGTGCACTAGAGTGAGGCATTTCAGACAAGAACGCAAGCCTCTGATAACTAAGTCAGCTGCCTCCATCTCTGACCTGATGCAGCGCACCACAGGTGCCATGACAGCAGCCTAGCCGGAACGCAACAACCCCTTGGAATTTTGCATGGGCTTTTTTGTCTTAACAGCTAACACTGTTTCTCTTTTGGGCTTCACTGCAGCAGAAGAGCAACAGCAACTCCAGAAGAATAGAATTTAAAAAATAATTTTAAGTGTAATTTTGATGTAGGTAGATTAGAATCACTACAGGTCAAAACAATAGCTATTTCTGCTTGAGATATTGCAGGGGTGTCTAGACTTTGCCCTCTACAACCTAACTCAGTTGACAGAAATAATATATGATGCTGTCTACAAGCTAATTCACAGAGAAGTTTGGAAAGCTGTCTAGGACAGATAAGCACAGCTCTTGACTCGTGATTCATGAATGAGAACAGCTCCTCTTGGCACAGGTCTAATGATTCACAAACTCGGCTGTCCATCCAACCCTGTCTTGGAGGTTTCAGGTCTACTGCCAGGACACTTAGACACTAACAAATTAGCTAGCTGAACATTTTACAGTGCCACCTATTAAGTAAAGAAGCACAAATTTCTTACATGAAACAAGTACAAATTTCTTGTCTTAACACCTTAGGCCAGAAGGCTGAAGAAGCACGCGAAACTCCACGTGCACTTTGGAGCCATTCCCACAGCAAAAGCAGAAACCTTCAGCAGGAGCAGAAAACCCTTACTCCACCTCAAGTTAAGCTACCCCTTCTCGAAAGTGCGACAGCTCATCCAACTCTGCAGTTTCCAGGACACAACTTCATCCAAAGCTGCCCTCACAAGAGCGCGCTTCTAGTACAGAAAGTTTTCAAGCCTTGTACTAGAGCTGGAAGAGTATTTGGGGAAAACAGCACTGTATGCTTCCTCTGTCCCTTAACGTGGTCCCTAAGTATTTGCTATTGATTATTGTCTGCTAAAATATTTTATTAGATGCACCTTTGCTACAATCTAATCCATGCCAACACTCCACTGTATTCTGCCCTGTAAACATCTGGCAGAAAGCAAAAACAATCAAGCACCTTATTAAGCGCCCCGTAAAGAGCCTGCAGAGAGCGTTTAACCTCCTGAAGATGGGCTACAAAGGCTCGCAGGTCTTAAAAACGAAACAAAGCTTCTGCTTCCATGCACGTTAGGATCCCAACGCAACAACTCTCTCACTGTTTTTACACACCTAAGCGGTGCCAGCCGGAGGTTCAGCGGCAGCGACCCAGCCAGCGCCAGCCCCGAAGGTGGCATCTCCGAAAGGCACCGAACGGCCCGACAGCGGACTGACCTTACTCTGAGGGCAGAGGCTTACTGCTTTCAGGTCACAGAAACCAGCACGCTCAGGACAGGCCCAAACCCCACACTAAACAGAGCAACAAAGTGGCTCAGGTGTATGTCATACTGCATGATAAAATTTCCAAGCACAAATGCGGCTGGCAAAAAGCTTTTTGCTGCTGGCATGAATTTCATGGCACCAGGGGTCCTGGCAGCCACGCACTGCCAACACTGTTTTATTTCACACCCCAGCGTGAGAGAGCTAAGTCAAGGGAACACTGTACAACAGATCTTACCCAAATGTCATAAAGTTTACATTAGAGAAAGCTAACAAAAATTGCATTTATTCAAACAATATGGTCTAATTCTTTTGCAGATGCAATACATTGAGACCAACTGGAAAGAACTTTAAAATTTTAGGTGAGTTTCACTTTGCTGTAAGGGGTTTTGCTAGGAAAAAATTGACAAAAGTTTTTTACATTAGGCAAGATTCAAGCCTGCCTCCTTTTTTTCTTTCCCCCTCTGTTTCAACAACTCAAAATGTTTGAAATAATAAATAAGCAGAGACCAAAGTTTCAACTGAAAAAGTTGAGGGAAAAATATTCAATTCCTGTTTCAGTGTTAAACTTGGTTTGTACTTAAAGTGAGCAGCAGTTATATCCATCGTTACCATGGATTTTATTTTTAAAGCATACATTACTACCAAGTTAAATTTAACAAGACTGTCTCCTGATTTACTGTGCGTTACACCACAGCGAGCGAACAACATCTGTGAGCTGTAATAGGAGACAGAAAAAAGCAGCATAGAGAATCGCATGGCTTTAGCATAACTTGCAAACGTACCCACGGTTCCTCGGTGCTCTTGACTAACAAAAGCCAGCTCTGTTTGATGAATTAAGTTTAGCGATATGGATGAAATCTGTTTAAAATTTTGAATTACAATACCATTAAGCATGCTGATAATACAGACAGCTCTTTATTTAAAATGACAGTTTTGTTAGCACTTCGCCATTGGAGGTGGAGACATTTGCTAGCGATTAGCTTTAGTGCAAAACCCATACCCAAGGCATCACAAAGAGACACATATGATAGCAGCATTCTAGCATAATATAAGCACGACTGATTACACAGAGGTGTTTTCTCCTTTTGACAAAAAAGAATTTTCAAAGAATGAAGCTGGACTAACTGCATTATTTATAAAAACAGTTGCTTCTGAGCAGCCTTAGGGCCAAAACATCCCATTGAGAGCTTTACAAGGCAATAATGGGTATGAAAGGCAGGAATTTAAAGGGCAAAAATATAAAGCAGCAAGATATCAAATGTTGGCTCCAATCAACCTTCAAATATTTAGCAATAGATTTTGTCTCACTGTTGTTACTACTAAGAGGATAAGCGTTTCCATATTATTGAGGCGTATAAGGTCACTGAAAATTAGTGTAGTTCTATCATCACGAACTTTTGACTTCTACTTCTCTATGCCAGTTCGCACAATCTGAAGGTATAATTCACAAACCAGACAAAAAATATCTCTTCTTCACAAAAAATCTAAAAAGCTTATGAGCAGGTATTGCTGAAAGGACCCAAACTAAACATAATATCTAGTGACAGCTCACTGTGGCTGAAGTTTGGCCACAAGTTGAAGTTTCTAACACTCCTATCTCGACCGAGTAGTAGAGAGGTATATTCTCAAACAGGAGCCAGGAGTGGTTTCATTACTGAGTGCAGAGATTATGGCGAGAGCTGTCAAAACAGTGTTTTCCCACACAGATTGGCAAGCAGAAATTAGAAGCACCAAGGGATTCTGCACATGCAGAAACTCAAGTTATGTTCAAAATTCAATCTGCTACCTGAGTAAACTTCAAAATGAAGACCATAGACTCAAAAAAGTAAGATAATGTGGTGCTGGGCTATCACAACTGGATGAACGCAGACAGGAAAAGTTGCAAGTGCAGCTGAACCTGCACCTACACCAGTAATTGCATTCAAAAAAATCATTTTGTCCTCAGTGTTGACGTATCTGATTATACAACACAGGTACCCCCAAACTACCTCTACAGTCTTGTCCTCTCAGACAGAGGGTTGGAGACAGAGTGGGGGGAATAGAGCCTTTAAAACTCATCTCAACCAGACACTCACTTGGACGTTAGGGAAGAATACTGAAAAATTGTTCAAAGATGATTCCTTGAACATCAAAGCAGAGGAAGCTTTAAAAAAAAAAAACAAGAATGCAGCAATTGCTAGCCCTGTGAGTGGGGGAAGGACAGGAATCACACCTATTTGAAGGCTTAAAAATAACATCTTTGCATCGTACACCTGGCTTTTTTTCTCCTGCCTTTTCCATCTGCCAAATCCTGCATTTGGGATTCTACCACTTTCCCTGCAAGTGTTGATGGCCTCACAACATAAAACAGAACATGGCTGTGCAGAAAGTTTTGTTTAAGGTGCTAATATAATAAGCTAGCAGAAGAAACAAAACTTTTAAACAAGTATGTCGAACAGTAAAAGCTTTTCAGCTCCGTTTCAGTTCACCAGCCAAAGGAGGTGAGCAGCAGAGGCTGGGCACTGCTTGCTCACCATTGGCAAAACCAACAAAGGTCTGTCCTAGAACATGACAACATTCTAAAAGCAAAAAAAATTGTATCATACACATGTTTAAAAAAACCAAACAAAAATCCCCCCAAACCCCCCGTGACTAACATTTAAGTTAGCATAAGCCTCTCTCTGAGACAGTACTACATGGGTTGTTTTTAAGTCACCATTTTAGCCCGTGAACTAAAACTACTGCTGTATTACATTGATCAAAGAGTACTTGTACACACTTCATACCACTTACCTCTAGCTCTACTGATCGCCTGAACTGAGCTCTGAGCACTTCTCTGATGGATTCACTGACATTTTGTAGAACAGCTCTTCGGGCCAGCACTGGAAATTAATGTCAGCCAGTAAGTACATTTTAGCTTCGTCTCTTGGGCTTTGGTTCAAAGCTGCATTTTCAATAGTGCAATACATGAAAAAGCAGGCAATGAGACCAGCTGCATCAAACGGGTAAGACACTGGACAAGGAAACAGGTAAAAGAGTGACTGCATCCTAAAAAGTGACTGTACATACAGTGTAAGGAACTCCCAAGTTTATTTTCTCTCTCATTTTGTTTTTCCATATCTAATGTCTTTAGCATTCTAATAAAAGAATCTTCTAAAGAGCTACTGAAGCATTCAAATTGGATCTGAAAGTCGCAGCACAGTCTGACCTGTGCACAACGAGCCTGCTGTTGTAACGAAGTTAGAGTTTTGTAGGCAACGCATGGAATGCAGATGACGTCAGAAAGAAGCCACAGAAAACATGCATCTACATTTCTCTTAAATAAAAAGTAAACAAACATGGCCATAATTACTGAAATGGATATGCACCAGGTAAGAAACTGCTTTAAAAACTCCACACCCCTATGGGTATCATGTCTGTTACTACAGTCTCGCTGCAGGCTGTGACTATGGCCAAGCAAACAACTGAAAAGTGTTGTGTTTTCCTCCAGCATTAACTTCCCATTAGTAACTTGCCTACAAAACTACTCAAATTAAAGGTTAAGAAAAAAATCCTCTTCATCCCCAACATTGCCAGCTCACCCTCGTATCTGGAGGATGAGATTATGCTCTTTCTGCTTTACGTATCACAAGTAAATCCTCAGGGCGAAACGAGTTGCTCAGCACAGAGCCCGCAGCAGTTCTGCAGCCGCCCTGGATCGGTTCGCTGCCGTTGTTTTGGTAACAAGCCAGCAAGAGGTCGAAAGCACCAAAAAAGCAAACACAGATGCCCAGACAATTCCTTTTGAAACAAACATCACTTTTTCTGGTTACAAACACACCACATCCAACTGAAGTAAGTAGGGGGGGAGGGAAAATATAACATAAGCTAGTACAGTAAATTATAAAAATAGTAATGAAACTGAAAACATTTTTTAAACCAACTCTCTTCTTTCATATTACAACATTACCTCGCATTCAGGTTTGTTGTGTTGTGTGGGGTTTTTTTGGGTTTTTTTTTTTTTTTTTTTTACAAACAGAAGCAACAACTGAAAGGGAAAACTTAATCAGAACATTTAATAGTCTGGCAGAACAGCGCCATGACAGCAACATTCATTTACAACGCATGAAATAATAAAGCAGCCTCTAATTCACTATACTTGTATATCCGTGTCTTTCAGAAGACAATTTCATTCTCTGTGCAGTGTAACGTGTATGTAACTCACTATCACAACGGACTTTGTTCAAGTGGATTCCGTTATTTTCAATAGTAAATGATAAATCCATGCTTCTACATCTGTTTGTCTAAATTTACACCACATTTCTTTGAAAGGTTCACTCAGCTAATTCAACACCTGCAATCTAGCTAGCGGGTCACACTACAGGGGCTTCTGAAAAACAAAATAAAAATGGCAGGAATATCTTACCCGCAGTGACTAAGTAAGCATCAGGAACGGTGATGTCGCAGATGTAGGGTTGCCTAGTAGTGGTCATGGCAAAGGTTATGACCACAGGTTCAGACGGCGTGGTGGTCGCCAGAGGGGTGGAGGAGAACGTCCCGAGGCTGCCTGCAGCAGTCGTGCTGTGGCTGCCCGAGGCGTCGGCGGCAGTGGCATCGGTGGCAGTGGCATCAGCAGCAGTGGCATCGGCGGCAGTGGTGGTGGGGACAGTGGTGGTGGGGAAAGCTGACGCATCAGTAAGAGCAGTTATGCTGCTTCCAGCTGGAACTTCATACCCGGTGGGAGGACCAGAAGTCAGAGGAGGTTGAGTGGGAGCAAACGACGTGGTCGCAGACAGAGATGCTGTAGGAGAGGGCATCACACTGCTGGTGCCAGCATGTGACGTCAGGTTGTCGGGGTCTGCGGAAGGAAGGGCTGTGTGGGCACTGCCCTCGCTGCCAGACGTTAAAAGCAGCGTGGGGTTAACTGTAGCACCAATATCCTCATCAGAATCCAGAGCGGTCGAGGGCAGGGATGAAGATACTTCTAAGACAGGAGTTGTCAGAAAGGTAGTAAACAAAGAGAGCGGATTCGTTTCATCGAGCAAGATGCTGCTGGGAACAGACGTGGTGTCGGAATCGGGCAGCACCTGGGTAGGAACCATGGAGTGGGAGGCAGAGAGTGAAGGCTCCAACTGAGAGGTAGCTCCTGTGACAGCTGAGGTAAATACAACTTCCGAGCCCACTGGCAATACTGAGGGTGCTTCCAGAAACACAGACGACTCAGAGTGAAAATCTGATGACGGTGTTATTTCAGGAACATGTGCACCTGGAACAGAGAATCCATTTGAATAAAAGTATGATGTTTGGCCGAGAGGGAGCTGAGAATCCTCGGCGTCAGTCGCAGAGCTGAAGGTGGTGGCTAACTCCCAGCTGGGAACATCCTCAGAAAGTACTGGTGTCCAAGTCAACGAGGTCTGAGGTAACTGCATTGATACATCACTTTGCATGACAGGGTAAGAATTTAGCATGTCCGAAGATAAAGTCAAGTAGCTAGGTTCAATAAGAAATGGTGTTGATAAAAAATTAGATGGAAAATCTGAAATATTTAAAGACTGTTCTTCCCTTGTAGCTGTATTGTCAAGCAAAATCACAGATTCTGACGGCATTAATTCTGGCAACTCCAGTAAAGTCGTGTGACTGACTGTGAACGATGCTACCGGCTCAGTCGGGATGAAGGTAGAATCAAACGGCATGGTGGTGGCATCAGGAGGTTCTACATGAGTGCTTGGTGCCAAAGAAACCGTTTCCAGAACAGGGAAGGAAAACTGGGCAACAGAGATGTTCAGTGGTGTTCCTCCAGGGAGCTGATGGTAAGAAGGAGAAATTGTTCTAGGTGTTCTGTTGTTAAGGACAGTGTCCATAGTGCTTGATAAAAACACGCTTGAATCAGGCATTTCTGCAAATCTTGAAGAAAATGAAACAACTGGTCTTGATGGAAAAGTAGTATCAAAAATCTCTGGTGTAGGCTCCTCTAATTCATACACATCAGTAATTGTAGTTGTAAACGGATTCATGCCTTGTACTTCAGAGGCTTTGACGGACAAAGTTTCAACATAATCGCCTGAGCCCACGTCATGTTCTGAGGAAAAACCTGCTTCTGGCAGAAGGGAAAATGAGTCACAATACAGACAAGAACTGTATGATTTTGCAAAAGGCACTGGACTCCTGAGCTCACTAAGAAGCTCTGACTGACTTGATATTTCTGAACCGGCAGGCAAATTTGGTGTTGTACCGGAGAATTCACGTGTAAACAGGCTGGCGTTAAGAACTGCATTAGAGTCCGTGGAAATGGCAGCGGAGTGAAGCCGGAAAGACGCAAGTGGAGGAAGACTAACAGGAAACAAAGCAGTCTCAGCACTGGCTGCTGAAGCCGGCGTGGCCCAGGGAGTGCTTGGAGTGGGGTAGGTCCTCAGACCGAGAGTTTCTGTTGCCCTGCTACTTGCGTCGGCGTAAACGTCACCATACGGGTCTGCACTCTGTGCTGTGGCATCTGGGGTCTTGCGGCTACTTTTATCCAGCAGCTTGAGATACAGCAGCGACCTTTCTGCAGCAGCCCCAAAAGGCAGAGCTGTGAAACTTGCCTTTATGTTTTCCCGCACTGCAACTCCAGCCTCTGAAGGAACGGAAGTGAAACGAACAGCTGTATCTGGAGGGTACGACGGCCACTCTCTGCTCGCAGTTAGCATTTCACTATCTGGTGCAAAGGGCTTCAATTCTGTAGGAGTGTTACCACGTTCAGGGACAGCGCTCAACAGAGTCTTTTGCTGTGCTGTTTTTGAGCTATCATACGGTGAAAAAAGTACAGATAACGAGGGTGTTAGCAACACAGATTCTAAAGTTCCTCTTGGTGGCTCTACTGTACTAACTGAGTGATGATCTGCTAAAACTGCAAAAGACTGGAGTGGAGGAGTCCACTGTGCCTTTGGAATTGAGCTAATAAATTCATCATCACTTAAGAATGCCTCATTGCTTGTTACGGAGACATCTACCAATGGCGTACGTCTTCCTTCTGAAATCCTGCCCATTTGTTCTCGGGTAAATAAAGTCACATCAGAGGGAACGGTAACTGATGATAAAACTGTTTGAAGCAAATTACTTTCTTGGGACTCCAAAGTACTTTTTGCTAAGGCCGTTTGTGTCCTGCTGCCTGATATGCTTTGGTGCACCTTTGAGTCCATTGACAAAAAGGAAAAATTTTGCTGCTCCGGGGATCTCTCATCTAAATAAAGAGGGAGAGAGAAAAACAAAACACAAAACCCACCAGATTAGCACAAGTAGCAAGATCACAATGAGCAAGCCTCATACACGGTATTTCTGGAGACAACCACCCAGAATTCAAGGGCCGAGACAAAACCTCTCAAGTGCATGGAAAAACCTCCGTGAGCGAATCAGGAGATACAGTAAGCTTCCCCACGAAACTGCGTTCCCCAGGAACGAGCAGGACACCACGAGCTCCTCTCACACTGCACCTACTCGCCTCTCTACAGCAGCACCCCAGCAAGCCCCACGGAAGGACAGAAAGCAGCTCCCTCTTACCTACGCGAGGCTACAGTGCATGGCAGCTAACGGTCTTACAACTCGAGCAAATCAAAAAGGGTAACAAGGAACAACGCAGGGAAAAATTTTGCATAAATTTAAGTCTTCTGCTCTCCTTCAGTATCACTTAATTTCCTTCAGTTTTATTATTTCTTCATATTAGACTCACTAGCGAATCTGTTCTGTTTCAAGGACCAGATTCTCCCTCTCTATCAGAAATGAGTGACACTTGCGAGAGATGAAGAGGGGTTCCCTTCATGCAAGGCAAATGTGGACCTGACATCAGTTAGAAGAATTTGCCAAGTAACATGTCCAGGAGTTACGCTTACATTGTCAGCCATTCATTTAACTCCTGTCCTTTCAGCAGTCAGTGACAAATTGCTTCATTACGCAGTTGCCATCCTTATTCACAACCTGCTGCAGGAGCACTGTTTATGGGCCACCTGTAATAAAACCTTTGCTGCTCCAGTTTGCAGAATTTAAGTAGTAATAGCCAGGTTCAAACACGAAGCAGAAGCAGCTAAGAATTCACCAGATATTTTAACAAAATACTTGCAAAAATCATATATGAATATCATTTGCATAAGTTGACTATAATTCCTCCTCTCAAGTGTGTTCTTGGGCTACAGAGAAAATCCGTATATAAGCTTTTCCAGCCGTGGATGTGTTTTGCAAAGAAAAGGTTGATTATTGCTTCAGTACTTTTCTGAAATGTCAAGACTGGATTAGTAGCCTTCAGAGCTGAATATTAAAAGAAACCACAGAAAATTGCCACAGGGTATTTTTCAAGGATACACACAAAGGCTTTATCCTTAAATTATCTATCCCGCCTGACTGTCCTGGTTTCATTTGGGAGCGTCCATGCAGTGCTGCTGGAACCTACTGACAATGCACATTAAAAAAGCTGGGGAGTGGGAATCACATATTGTTAAAGCACCAGGGACCAGTTTAAAATAAAAACGAGCATATACAGTATGAAGTGCCGGATGGTGATACAGTACACAGCTCAACTGTAATTACATTCGTGACCCTTTAGAGGATGCCTCGAACACAGTAACCCATGGCAGATCTTGCCAGAATAGCTCACCTATCTGTTACACACTGTTACAGTCTAACACCGCTCCCCAAAGGTGATAAAACGCTGTAATCACCCCCTCCTCCCTGGTTTGTTTGCTAAATTCCTTGACACAACTTTTCAAGTGCTGACATACTGACTTGATAAATTTCGAAGGTGCTGATCTGAAAAGCACAATTACGAGAATTAATGCGCAGCGCTAATACCACTGTATCACTAATCACAATCCACCATGAGCGCTGTGATTATGTACTTCATTTCACAGATCCCACACGCAACGTTCTGCAGCATAGCAGATGCTATTCTCTCCAGTAGTCCCAATCCATTTTTTCCTCCTGAAACTCACTGTAGGCATTGCCAGCTTTATGATGCTTAGTTGTGGTGTGATGATAAAACATACCGCCTTACAATGCTCTCAGGGCTAAAAAAAGAGAAAAACCAAGCACACGCTCGTAAAAGCTACGTAAGACAAATACACAAGTCCATCCTTGACTTCTTCCATGGAGGTCAGCTGCTCGAACACGGCACAGTGCAGCACAGCGCAGCCACCATGGAATAACAGCTTTCACAAACAGTTGATGTCAGTAACAGACAAAGCCATTTCTAGCCAGCACGGAATCGAAACACGGACTCTCAGCCAGCCCCGTTTGCGGACCAAAAACTGTTCAATATTTTGGCCTCGCTAAAAGTCTCCCCAGCCTCTATTTTTCTCTTTGTGACATTCTGAGTAAGCAGGGAGTTTCTAAAGGCAAAGACTTAAAAGGCTATGAAACAAGCACTGCCAAAATCCATCACTTCTCTCCCTCCACGCACGCTCAGTTCCTTTTTCCAAGCCCTGTAAAATCCTGCCCATCTTGGCCACATTTTGGACACCCAGTGCTTGCTTACAGCGAGTTCCAAACTGCAGGCAAACCTGCTAACAGATAAAGTTCTTGTTCATCACCGCTTCACGTTGTAAATCCCCGCAGCAGTAACGCCAGACAGCTGCCTTAGCTTCAACACAGTAAGTGTGGCAGGCACGGAACTGCTGCACAACAGTGAACGTGACCGGGAAAGGTGAACACATACTAATTCGTGACTGCACTTCTGATCACCTATTTCCACAAACCTTTGACCCAAAGCGAGAGCAGATTCCATAAACAAAACCCTTTCACTGTCTATACATGCCCACGCTGCGTGTCACCTTCCTTCGCCCACACAGAGCTCCCGTTCTCTTTGTCCAGTTTCATAAGGGAGCTGGCACGAGGCAAGATCCCGCTGGAAGTGACCACACATCACGGGAGGATGTTCTGAAGAGTTACTTGCACCACCACAAGCTGCCCAGTAGACATGCACAGGAGGCAAGGGCAATCATGTCTTTAAATTAATTCTGACTTTCGAATTTGTTTTTTCTTGAAAGTCTGCTAATATTTTTTCCTTGAAGACAAAGTAATAGTCAGTAATAATTTTATCATACACCTGTGCCTCTTAATGTAAAGAATCTTGCCACTGACACCAGGAAGGAAAGAACACAACTTCTGAAAAAGATGTTTCCTTTTTTTAAGGAAAACACACCATGTCTTGAGAAAGTTACAAGCTGTAAGACAAGGTAAGAGCACTGTTACTTGAGATAAGTGGAGTGGGAGAAATTCACTTGTGCACACAGGATTTTGAGAAAAACTCACCAGCAAGTTCGCAAGTCTATGTTCCATGCTATTTGCTTTGCCTTTTAGAAGCAGGGAGCATTTGTGACGTGCCATTAATAACACAAATTATTGTTTTCTGTCATCTTCAGCAGAGCAGTGGACTACTTGACCACTGCCTGCCAGAACCGTGCGCGCCTCTCACGGAGAGCAGATGGGACGCGCGGCAGACGTGCCCGGGAGCAGCCAGACAGCCCACAAAGAGGAAGGAAAAGCAAAGCAAAAAGGGAAGGAGGTGCAGGCACACCACGGTACGACAGTCGCGCCCTCACCAGCACAGAGCAGCCGATCCGGCTACACCGTGGGACAAAGTAAGCAGACAGATTGCACACCTCCTGGTGGATCTCTACGCCACGACTGCACAAAGCTACTGATGAATATCAATGCTGACTCGTTTGTTTGAGCAGATGTTGCTGTTGGGTGACCGTTTCGCCGTCCAGCAGCTGCGCTGCCATTGCGCTAGGCAATGGTGACG